ATAGCTTTATAATACAAAGAATTCTGAGCAAAAAAAGATATCTCCGAGCTGTCTACAATGCTTTTCATCGGAACATTTTGGTAATTTACACACCCTTTGTAGCCGTTGGTAAATCGACTACAGCTGGATGAAAAAGCGCTATAGACAGCTGGGAGATATCTTTTTTTGCTCAGAATTCTTTGTTTTATAAAGCTATATGGTTCGTAAAACTTTCTGACCCAAAACCAAAGACTTGGTTTTCCCACCTTTAGATCTTCCACAAACCCTATTATCAAGTTTGTAGAGAATTTCAGGGACTATCCAACGGTGTTCTTTTGAAAAATATATAGTTTTTCATTAAGACAGAAAATACTTCTAAAAGAGTATTCTGCAGCTGTTTTCCGTAGTTCAACGCGTTTTTTGCATGCCTTTGGTGACTGATCCCACCAGTCAAGATATTCTAACTAGCTCAATTTGTAGAAAATTTCAAGGGCTATCTAATCGTGTATAACTGAAAACTTGTGTCGCTTTCTGGCAAGGTTTTCTGGTCAATGACCTTTCGACGTTCAATATCGTCCTGGATACTATATATAAAATGAGTCGAAATACTTTTCCTTTGTAACATAAGCTGAATCTAAAGGGTGCATTTGGTTCAGAATTCAACACTCTATAAAACTACATGTAACTTGGCCGGTAAATGTGTGCTTTTCGAGAGATGGGCTCCGTTAAGATCTTCCTTAGGATTTCTTGTCCCGAAAAAGCTCTTTTGTGTTTTGACCATATGTATAATACTCCATCCGACTCAAAGTTGTTCGTAGATTGCGAATATGGCGTTAAAACTATTTGATAAGTAAATCAGAGCAGAAAAAAACAAGTTCAAGTCCAAAATATACCCTATTTTGGTATACTCTTTTCTAGTAAAGATTTTTTTTCCCATAGACGCAGATGAATTCAGACCTCCACATGAATATGGCAGACAGAGCTCATATTTATACAGTTTTCGACAAAATTAGAATTTAGTTCTATATATCGTTTGGGTTTTATAGTTATTTTACTGCGCACATGTATTTTATCTAGGTTTCGTTTTTCAGGTGGGTTCTTGAGATACTGTGTACTGCAACAGAGAGCGAGAGAATGAATCAACATATTGACTATACTTCGAATAGTTTTATTTTTATTTTAAGCAATATCATTTCATATTACATCGACAAGGAAATAATGCTTAACAAAGAAAAATTTAACAATAACGACAATAAAGGTAAATACTATTACATTTTGTTGCTCTTCTGATCACTTTTTCAGCAAAAAATTGTATGGACATCTTGTTCTAAAACAGAAAATATTTACAAATTTAATTTGGAAAAAGTTGATGATCTAGTAGGATAAATTAACGATCTACACTGCACTAGGAAGGAGATCAGTCTTCCTGTATCTGGTCGATTTAAATAACAAACCTTTATTCATCATCTGATTTCTTTTTTCGCTTCTTCTTTTGTGTTTCCGCTGGTGTTATTGTTGATGATTGTGTGGCTGATGAAGGTGTTGGTTGTTGTTTCGTTTTTTTTGTTTTATTTTGTTTTGATTGTTTTGATACTTTATTATCATCTCCACCAGCTCGATTATTACCGTTCTCTTCTTCATTAAAATCGTCTAATATTGATGATGTTTCATCGAGATCATCATCCGAACTATAGGTTGACAAATCGAATGGTGGTTCTAAAATTTTTGATGTCATAACAAATATTGGACCATCGCCTTCAATTAATTTAAATGTAACTTCGGTTGTTTCATAAATATGAATACGAAAACCAAGGTTATTTAACTAAATGAAACAAAAATTAAATATAAAAATAAGACAAAGCAATATTTGATTGACGTAGCAGAATGGCAATAAACACAACTAAAAGATCTTTAATGATAATAGAGGTGTTAGACTAAATATCCAGATATTCTAATTATAGATCCATTTTCTTGTCCATTTATTTTAAGTACGCAATTAAATCAGTACAAAGTTTCTAAGTCAATCAAACAAGATTTTTATTTTGTCACAGAATTGCGCTCAATGCACATACATACCGAATCATTTTTATTTAACGTTAGTGCTAGAATTGGCTGATCTAATACTACTTTGTCACCTTCAGTTACTTTCAAATGAATAAGATTACGTTGATCAGCTTTTGCACCAACACCGATAACAGCCTAAATAAGTCATAAAATAGAAAACTGCTAATTTTATGTATTTGAAGATTTCGTTCTTACACTATGAATAAGTAAATATCTTTGTAATGTTGGTATTTCACATTCGCTATCATCATCCTCTTCATTTTGATCATTATCATCTCGTTTTCGTTTATTCGTATCAGACGTCCATTTATACTGTTTTTTGTGTGCTGATAATTCAAAACCTAAAACAAAAATTAAAGATTTTTCAAAAAACCAAAAATAAATACGTTAATAAAAGTAAATAAGTATTATTTACCAATAATTTTTTCGTCTAGAACAACTTGCCCGGGCATTTTGTAGTTTAAGATCAGAAGAGTAATAGATCTAAAAACATACAAACGTTTCAAAACGAGAAGAGAACATAGGTTAGATAAAATTAGAATTCTAGCACAAGTCTAGTTTTTGAGAAAGGGATAAACATTTTCTTATACAGGCAGTATTGAAATTCAATTTTCATACTCCTTTTCAACAATAAAAGGAAGAAGAATCAGTGTTCATTTTAATATCAAATTATTCCATCAGTTCACAGTTGTTGTTCTTGATGAAAACGAGAGACACCAACGATAAAGTTTTTCACACATGCAGTTGAACCTTAATGTAATGTTCATGTAACACATAAATCGAAATCATTACAAGAACACTAAAGATTTACAAAAAGAACAATGAAGCAACTCATTTTTTATGACACCAAATCTTTCATTTAAATCTTATTTTAATTTTTTTGCTAGTAGGTTTATCCAATAATGTCTTTCTCTAATATATAACTTTTCAAATCATAAATTGCTCTACAATTGAGTACCATTCGAAACATTGAACGAATTTTGATTTCTTTTCCAAATTATTCGTTGCAGACTATATATTGATGCTCGTAGAAAATAGCAATTCATCATTTAAAATGTTGGTATTATAAATATTGTAACGTATTCTCTGATAACAGTTGAAACATGATATTTTTTTTTGAAACAGACGTATATATGGCAAACAGTTGTATAAACTTTTCTGGATCAATTCTAGCTTTTTTCTCTTTTGTTTACACACTATATTGTTGACTTGTTTTTCCTCATATCATGGTTTTAGAAACAGTTATGCACAAGAGAAACAAATATTCGTTATGTAACTGGAAAATAAATATTTTATACGCATTATAAACAAATTTTGTTTGTTGAACAAAATTATTGTTCGTCACAAAAAAAATAAATACAGTTTCTTTTGAATATCTGTCTGATTGACTCAAATCAATCACCAATAGAAGCACTAGTAATTTGTCGAAAAAAAATACTTATAAATACACTAATTCTTTTCTTCTCCGTTTTGACATCATATATGACTAAAAAATTCAATAGTTAATATGCGACGATTTTTACATGTATCGTATAAGGATGTCAAATACAATTAAAATCGAAAGGATACCACCATCCATGATTATCTTGATAACTGACAGAATGCTAAAACGAAATGATGATCAAGTATGATCAGGAAAAAGTTTACCACTCTTCTGAAAACGAATTCGAAAGTAAAAGATTCTTTAACCTTTAACACTTCGTTGGCATGACGTGATTTTCAAATATTATTAATAAGATGTAACTTGAAAGCTCAATAAAAGAAGTAGAAAGGTTTGAGAGCTTACTTCCCCTTTCTCTATTGGTCTCTGTAAACACAAGTTTAGAAAGTTTGTAAGTATGAACATTAACAATTTTTTGTATCCTGTGCAAGTATGATGATGAATTATCGATTTCAAACTTTTTGTTGATTGAATTTGCTAAAAAAATAGAAAAATAGATCAAAACGACATTTTCTCGTAAACATAGCTTTTTCTGTCATGCTTACAGTTTTTAACACAGCTTATTCTTTTTTCAGCTGCTAACCGCTGTAGGCAGCATTATGTGAAACAGATGAATGTCTTTATCAAAAGTTTTTCATGATCGCACAAAATACTATTTTGGCGGTTTTGAATGTTTTCATTCCAACGAACATAAAGCACATATAGCAATCGAAATGTTCATTAAATTCCATTATTGTTTGCTTATTCGTATGCATATTTCAACTGTCTTTTGGCTAACAAAACGTTGTTCTTTTCAACGGGGCAATTATTAATCCTGAGTGTCATCCTTCGAATTTTTACGGCGAACAATTCTCATATTCAAGTTTTTCTAACGCTTTATCACTTTTTCTTCAACAAAAAAACAAACAACTTTAAATCATGAGGGCCGAAATAACTGATTTTTAGTCATATCTAGCTTATTTCTATGCTTATTCGTAAAAAGCATCGATTAATTTCAATAAGGTCAATATAACTTTTCCTTTGTTAACTATTCGCTCTAGTGTTAAAAGAAAATCAACAAAAATATCTTGTATTAATTTTGAGACCATTAATTTGCTTTTAAATTTTTCATTATCAAAAAATCCATACTTTAACCCGACATAATATCGAAAAACTCATGAGAGAGGCACTTTAATCCTAAAAAATCAATGAAAAGATCGCAGAAATCAAGAATATCTAATAATAAAAAAATCTTGCTTCTGCACAACAATAACATTTTTGTGAAACGTAAATAGAGGCAGTGTTTTTAATGATTAGTGGATCTCGCTTGAACAAAACGGGTTTCCACTTTGAAAATTCGATTTCCACTGTTTTTAGCAGAGAAAACATGGAAAATGCAGTGGTAAACTGTGGAAACCCACTTTGCTTAAAATTTCTATTAAAAATACTGAATAGAGGGCTATTGTTAATGGAAAGTAAGAAGGGTTACTAAACATCTCGTGCGCACGTTACGTCATCATAATCACTAAATTTGGGTATACACTTCGTGGGTTTACTTTAAAAAAGTAAAACAATAGCATGTGTCTCAAAAGTAAAGAAGATTATTTTGGTTAGACTAAGAACAGAAATTTATTTACCGAAGTGGATAACTATTTTGTTCTCGTTCGGTCTACCAATCATTAAAAACATTATACCGAATGCTGATTGATTTAAGAACAGCGAGATTTCACGTTGGCACTAACGTTTTGTGTCTAAACGTTGTGCATAGCATATCGTAATCTTTGCGCTTCATCACTGTAAATTTTGACTTAATCGAAATGAATGATCATATCATCCACTTTTCTGACTTGTCAGTCGAACTAGTGAATGATTTTTGTTTGTTTAGATATAAACTCGTTCACTTTGGCGGAGGAAAAATGTTGCCCGAGCGGACAGCACATAATCCACTTTTTTAATAGTCAGGTCATCCACCCAAGTAAGATTTTTCCTCCTCCGAAATGAATGACTTTTTATCTAAACAAAGGAAAATCATTCACTGATTCGACAAGTCAGAAAAGTGGATGAAATGATCATCCATTTCGCTTAGTCCAAATTTACAAAATTTATTTAAATTTAAGATATACTTATTAAGACGAGGCAGGCGGTCGAGCAGATATATATTGTCTGTCGATTTGCAAAATATAGACAAATGGCCAAGAGGTGTTTTATTGATCAACTAATCAATAGAGATAGGAAATAGAGAATCGATTTTGATGTGACCACGCACAAGAGAACTAGCAGAAAGTCATATTTCTAATACCCTAAGTTTTCAGAACCTAGTACTAAAAGTCAAACTTGATAGTGGGCGCCACTGTACGACATCGTGTTAATTGTAAGCAAAAAAGATTATAAACTTATTTAAAAATTGATAGAACCCTAGATCTGCATAGAACGTGTATTCAAATTAGTAACCGACCATGGAGAATCTATGGAGACTAAGTCAAGGGGGAAAAGGCGGAATGGGCCATTCCGTACCATTTCATACCATTCCAAACATTTTTGACCATTCTGGAATGGCCCATTCCAACCCATTCCGGAGCGTTCTATACCATTCCAAAACGCTTTTTCCCCCTTGGACTAAGTGCAGCACCATTGGAGTTCTCCATAATGTTTCGGTGGATGAATGTACAGAAAATTAGGTCTAACAGTCGAGTCTAAGAGTTTTGGCTTTAGGTTGTTTGAGATATAAAAATAACCTAAACGTATTCTATTTTCAAACTTATATTTTTTTGTAAGGTGTTGAAAATTCAAAATTTCTAGGCTAATTTTTTTCTGATTGATTTATACATGATTGGACAGCGCAGCGAGCTTATATGAGTAAGAGTCCAGGATGTTGAAAACGGTGTAATTTATTGTCTATTAAATGTCCATTAACAACCCACAAAATGTGTTCTTAATGATATTTTTTAACTGACTAACACCGGTTTTTGACCATTTTTGACCATATAACTGTGAACGTATTAACGCCCAACAATGGCACTTTTTTAACGTATTTTTGTAACTCAACACGTGAGAAACTGAAAACAACGCGAGATATATTGTAGTGAGGTCAGCGAAACAAAAGGGTGAATGAAACGGTAAACGTTAAAGAGCCGGTTTTTATGTATTTAGACGGCTGTAATAGAACGGGCAATAAAATGCCATTTAATGTTTATCTAAATCTGAGACTTACTAACACACAATTGATTGCTTGTTTTTAGGCGATCGTTAAAGGTCAGAAGGACGATAAATGGTGTCTGTTAACGGACCATTTTGTCACAATTAAAAGCCTGTGAAAACCCTGTTATTAGTCATTTCATTAACAGGCCATTTATGTCCTATTAAATATCAGTTGTTTTTGACTTGGGATAATGTGCTTTAATTTTTGAAAAAGGGATTTTTTGAGGTAGAAAACTACAAAACAAAATAAATCAAAAATTTCATGTTTATTTTTCTACAGAATGAACGACGATAGTATCGTTTATTGTTTATGCGTTTAGATTCGATCGCCGACGAATAATAATTTCTCATTCCCCGGACATCTCTGATCAGCCAACTAAATAGTCTTGTGCATAGAAAAAAAAATTCTTCTGGGAGAATAGCAGATAAAAATCTTTCAAGGGTTTTGCCCAGGGTAACTCCTGGTCCAGCATTGAGTACGTCGCCGCTGTAAATATAGAAAGAAATTCCCACTCTACCGAATCATTCGTGTGAAAAGATCCGAAGCCAAAACATCTTTGTAACGTGTTTATAACGCCAACTTCTCAGCAAATTTAAATTCTTTTTAAATGCTCAGACCGATATCGACATTTCACACTATGTTTCTGACGCTGTCAACTATCTGTTATCATATACCCGTTCAAACCTAGTTTTACGATACAAATGTTGATTTTAATGAAATTCATTGTATAGAAGAAAAATGATAAGACAATCACCCATTTTGGAGCGTCTCAGTACGCACAACTTTCCAGTTTTATATCTAGTAATACAAACACTTCATGTTTCCCCTAGAGAATTTGATGGCGCATTTTGTCAGAAAAGATTTACTCCAAAGGTGAGGACGCAAGATAAACAAACGCCATTTATTTTGACGTACCCTTTACATTCACAAGTGCACGATCATATGATTTTATAATACGCATATTTTGTTTTGTCATGTATTAGATACATTTCTTCCAGAGAATACAGAGAGAATCACGACAGGGGAAATAGAAAAAACTTTTCTTTCTCTTTTCTCTATTTTTTTTCTCAGTCGAATGTACATAGAATTTACTCGAACATTTTCGCTCCTTTTCTGTTCGATGATTCACCATGTGTACTTATGTGTGCTCAAACGAGGGAGACATTGAAATAACCTTGTATTACATCAACGAGAGAAATAAATGTTCTATTTGTCTCTATTTTTTCCTTTTTTTTCGCACTATAAAAGAAAAACATAAAACAGCTAGTCCTCATTACAATCTCGAAAACGTACGCTCTTGTTAACGTTCGCTTTTTGCACAATTTTGAACTTATATACATTTACACTTACTTTAAATTTCATTATCACCAAGTAAGTTTCTCGCTTAATTTTAAAAGTAGACACAGTACATTTTAATCTTTTTTTTCTAACTAGTCATGCAAATCTTCGTGAAAACTTTGACTGGTAAAACAATCACATTAGAAGTTGAACCGTCGGATACTATCGAAAATGTCAAAGCCAAAATTCAAGACAAAGAAGGTATTCCACCAGATCAGCAACGTTTGATCTTCGCCGGTAAACAATTGGAAGATGGTCGAACATTGTCGGATTATAGTAAGTATATTGTTTATTAATCGATATTTTATTCAACTTTAAATAGCTAAAACAGCACTCTCCAGCCCATGTCTTGTGTACGAAATAATTTAAACAATTTTCCTAATCATGATATTCCTTATATTTCAGACATCCAAAAAGAATCAACACTCCACTTGGTGTTACGATTACGTGGTGGTATGCAAATCTTCGTTAAGACATTGACAGGAAAAACAATCACATTAGAAGTTGAGCCGTCGGATACAATCGAAAATGTTAAAGCCAAAATCCAAGACAAAGAAGGTATTCCACCAGATCAGCAACGTTTAATCTTCGCTGGTAAACAATTGGAAGATGGACGTACATTATCTGATTACAGTAAGTTATTTGTTTCTTAAAAGACAGAACATTTGTTGAATTTCCAGTGCTAAAAGTAGTTTTCGTTTTTCCGTGTTGTACACACTAAACCCAAAATTAATCATGATATTCCTTATATTTCAGACATCCAAAAAGAATCAACACTCCACTTGGTGTTACGATTACGTGGTGGTATGCAAATCTTCGTCAAGACATTGACAGGAAAAACAATCACATTAGAAGTTGAGCCGTCGGATACTATCGAAAATGTCAAAGCCAAAATCCAAGACAAAGAAGGTATTCCACCAGATCAGCAACGTTTAATCTTCGCCGGTAAACAATTGGAAGATGGTCGAACATTGTCGGATTATAGTAAGTATATCGTTTATTAATCGATATTTTATTCAACTTTAACCCTTTCCAGTCGGCAATTTCTAAAATATAGCAAAAAATGTTACCATTTGGCAACATTCGGCCGGAAAGGGTTAAGTAGCTAAAACAGCACACTCCAGCCTATGTCTTATGTATCAAATAATTTAGACAATTTTCCTATCTTTCAGACATCCAAAAAGAATCAACGCTCCACTTGGTGTTGCGATTACGTGGTGGTATGCAAATCTTCGTCAAGACATTGACAGGAAAAACAATCACATTAGAAGTTGAGCCGTCGGATACAATCGAAAATGTCAAAGCCAAAATTCAAGACAAAGAAGGTATTCCACCAGATCAGCAACGTTTGATCTTCGCCGGTAAACAATTGGAAGATGGTCGAACATTGTCGGATTATAGTAAGTATATTGTTTATTAATCGATATTTTATTCAACTTTAAATAGCTAAAACAGCACTCTCCAGCCCATGTCTTGTGTACGAAATAATTTAAACAATTTTCCTAATCATGATATTCCTTATATTTCAGACATCCAAAAAGAATCAACACTCCACTTGGTGTTACGATTACGTGGTGGTATGCAAATCTTCGTTAAGACATTGACAGGAAAAACAATCACATTAGAAGTTGAGCCGTCGGATACAATCGAAAATGTCAAAGCCAAAATCCAAGACAAAGAAGGTATTCCACCAGATCAGCAACGTTTAATCTTCGCTGGTAAACAATTGGAAGATGGACGTACATTATCTGATTACAGTAAGTTATTCGTTTCTTAAAGTATTTTGTCTCTGAGTAAAAGTGACATTTCACGTACAGATTAATTCATGATATTTTTGAATATTTTAGACATTCAAAAGGAGTCGACACTTCATTTAGTGTTGCGATTACGTGGTGGGCAATAAACAAATAATTAACAGCATAAACAATAACAGTAATAGCAACAGCTTATTGTCAACGTATAAACATTTGTCTTGAAAAACATTTTGTTTTCGGCCATTCTTTGCCTTTTTTGAATTAGTTTTTTCTTTATGTCCGTATCAAGTTCAAACAGATTTTTCTTTCAACAGTTAGGATTACGTTTTATGATATACTTTAAAAAAAGAAATTGACTGGAAAAATAAAACGGAAGCATGATTTTAAATATGTTCAAGGATGGAAAAATGTGTGAAAAGACAAGCTAGCAAGACAGGTACTCTTAGTTCATGGCAAAATATACAATACTGATGCTTTGTTGACATATGAATGACTTAGAAGAGAAGAGTCGTTAAAAGTATGCAAATCAGGCATATTTGATGAGGAAAAAGAAATCTTGAGCAGAAGTTGAGCAATTCGTGATCGTTTTACAAGCTTTAGAAAAAAAGCTTTTCTTAGTGACAGGCAGAGAAATAAACTTTTGTCATTCTTCGTGCGAATAAAAAATCCAAAACACGCAAGGAGATCAGTTTGTTTGTTTTTTGCTTCATTTTGGCAATTAATTCAAGAGAAGTTACACTGGTAAACTGGTAATTGTCGACTTTTTCTGGACTGCTCGAGACAAACATCCAAGAGCATTTGGAGACGTAGAGTCAGAGTTGGAACCAGCCTGCCAGATCGCGTGCCGATCCGGTGTAAAAGTTCAGACTCGCCGGGCTAGAAAAATTTTCAAATCAGCCGGTGTCGACGAGTTTTTTGCCGTTTTTAGAATTTTTAGCATTTTTCTCGTCTTCATTCAAAAGAAACTTCATAAAACAACTAAGAGAAATAAGAATTCAATATTTTTATTCCACTTTTTCCATAAAGATGCAGATTTTCACCGGTCTAGGAAATTACTAAAAACCGGCCGGTCTTTAAAAAGATCTAAAAGGATTTCGGGACCGATCCAGCCCGTCAGCAAAGAGGATAGAATCAGTCGGCAGTAAAAAAGTTGTTTTCAATTATTTGAAGAATACGTTGGAAATCTAATGTAGACTAATATGGCCTTATACTGTGACAATGAAATAAAAGGTGATATACTGGTTTGAAAGAGTTTGACTTGTACCGAAAGCATTTTCTAAAACCGATGCATAAAATTTAAAATTCTGTCAAGAATTAATCGTTAAATGATACCTAACGAGTTTTTTTGATAAGTTACTCAAATGATTCTTAATGAATAATAAAAAAATGTCCCAAGACCATAAATACAAAGGGTTGACAGTGTTATTCATAATTTATATCCACCAACTAATCAGTATGGGATCCACGATTTATTAAGAGGGTGCGATTGCTTGAATTTTTGAAACTAGATGCACTAACAGTGTTTTTTTCTTCTGAAAATATTTGGGAAAGAGGGGGGAGCGAGCGTACTTTTCCTGATTCCGCCACCGCAACTAAAAACACTTTGACTTTTATTAATAGAGAGCAGGAGGCCGGTTTTAATCTGTGCTTTCCAGGCTCTGAAATAAAGTTTGAACGATATTCGCTGTAGATTCAATAGACAGACAATTTCTACTCTACAAAAGCTAGTATGCTATATACCCACATAACATTCTTTCGTTACATTTTTCTTACTTTCCGAACGTACTTCAATGCTAGTTTTTCATATACATAACATTTTTTACAGCTTTGATGCCTAATACCCAAGCGTTTTAGCTAAAAGATCTTGAATCTGCTACACATTTCTAAAGTAATTATTTGGGAAGTAAATACCAGCGCTGAAGTCGTACTAACATGCAGTTCGATTGTTGAGAATTTTTCGCAGTAATTTTAACGAAGGAAACGTACAGATAAGAGATAGATTATCAAAAATTGCGCGCTCGCATATTGATAGATGTAATTATTATGTATTGCTATCACTAACATTTCAAACGTCACTTTAAAATCCAAATTTGCTATGTGCTTTAAAGAAGTACTAGTATTTTTTAGTAATAATTAGTATTTGTACTTATCATTAAATTATTTGGAAAACCATCATGCGGCCGTTTCCGCTATATGGTATTGGATAGATGAGTGTTTCTCTCAGAGAAAAGTAAGCCAATAATGCAGTATATAGTGACATCCTAAATAGTGATTGGTACATAATCAACAAACACAAAATGATGAGGTGAATCATATTTTGTCTGACATTATTCTCTAAAGAATACATACGTTATATTTCATCATTAGAATTATAAAAAGAATAAATACATTTCATCATTAGAATTAATATATAAAGTTTGTCTCCACATTCAACTTTTATTTGCTTACAATAAAATCATCTTAATACAAAGCGTATTTGCAAGAAGGACGTACTATGATGAAGAGTTTTGAGTTTTCATTTTTGTATAACTTGGTGAGTTGAAAACATCATAGTTAGAGTTGTTAGCTGATATATATGTTATTTTTAGATTTATAAGTTGTTGATTTTTTATAAGAATGTTAAGAAAACTAGTGGAATTATCAGGGGCAACAACGATGACAAGATTTTTAGTTTATCGTCGCTTGTTTCATAAAATATGAATTAAGAGAATTTAAGGATGGAGTGGTAGAAAATTCAACAGCAGTCACATTACACATTCAGCAGGTATTTGTTTGTATGTAAGTGTGTTTATTTGTGTCAAGACAAACCGAAGGTTTTATCTGTTCTCACGACAAGAATTGCTGACTCAGACGGCTAAAGCAAAGTGTCAAAAATCAGAAGACGTATTTTTGATGCTCAAAATACAGGAGAAACGGTTACACCTTAATTTTTTTTAAAATTGAATCTCATTTTTTCTTTCTTTGGCTCATATAATTTATAGAAGAAATTTGATTTCTACTATATTTGAAGAAGAAAACTGTTCGTTGCTTACAGTTCATACATATACTTGACAGATTGAGCTAAACAAATATATAAATAAATGAAACAAATGGTTTAGATTGATACTCAGCTTTTTTGCTTTATGTTTATATTTCTGTTGAGATCGCACTGTTTTGTTAATTCTATATTTGACAACGTTGAATAGTAAAATTGTTCGCAAATAATATTCGTGCTATTCAATCTAATTTTCAGTTCGACTGAAATTAACTCGGAAGATATTTTGTACCTTGTATTTGTCTATGCTTGCTTCAAATAATTAAAGACGCCTTTATAATAACCATTTGATATTCGAATTGAAAAATAAAATGAACTAATTGTGTCTAATTTGGAATTTGATTTTCGTGCACATAGAATAAATATGCCCACAACTGATTTGGCTATATTCGTTTTGATTCGTCCATTTCTTCGTCCTCAGTCGTCATTTCTTCGTCCTCAGTTGTCATTTCATCATCTGATTTTTGTTGATTCATGTCATTTATTGTTCAATGTCATTTCATGAAATTAAATCGCTTGAAATATTACCAAATACAGATTGGCATGTGTATCAAAATATCTGAGGATGTAATCAAGTATTTTACTGATAAAATTTTTGAAAGACTTTTCTAATTTTTTAGCATCAACTTTGTGCATTTTTTTTCCAGTATAGTACGTGCTAAATGACCATAATACTTACCAGCTACTCGTCACTTTTTTTTATTAACAATATTTGTGATTATTCTATGAACATCAGCGGTTTTCATACTATGATGTTGAACTTGAAGAGCAGATCATTGCATTTCGAATAAAACATTTTCAAGAATATATAATGTACAAATGGCTTCATCCAATGTAAAAAAATTATTTAATATTGCTGGACAATCTTCACCAAGGTTAAGAAAATATATACGAACAGCTGGGAAAACTTTCACCACACGTTCAATTGAATTGAACAAGCTTAACCATTGAATTTTGATTTGTTGTAATAATACGTATAACAAGAGTAAACAAAACTTTGGTTATTTATAGTCTATATTTTGTTGCAAAATAATCACTGAGAATACGAGGCAAAACGGAAAGTCTGTTTACTACATGCAATATTAGCTACAAAAATATATTCACTTACAATGTAGTTAAGCTCAACAAACTCGATTTTAACTCTTCGATTCGTTCGCTGATCAAAAAAAATATGTGTACACCTTCATTATGATACATTAAACATCAATTAATAAATAACCGTTATTGTGTTTAACAGAGTTATCCAATATATGAGAAAAACAATTTCTTGAAATTACAAATCACAGGTGAATAGGAAGCAAAAAGCAATAAATAATCAAAAGTTTTATTAGAGTTGGTTCGTTGACATTTTGTGCCTTGTATTTGTCTATGCTTGCTTCAAAGAATTAAAGACGCCTTCATAATAGCCATCTGATTGGTTTGTGTGTATCACTTTACCACTGCTTATGAAGGAAATGGTGTATATTGAACACACCATTCGTCGAGTTGAGTACAATGACTTAATATTCGTTAAGTGGCGAACCAATTGAAATCAATCAACGTATAGCTTCATATCAATATCTTGTCGACATTTCAATTTATTGATATCGTAACTAGGGGAGCGCAGTTTCCGTTACCTTTGTGTATAACTTTAACTTTATAGTTATTTTGTTATTACAGTAATGGCAACTGTGACACTCCTAACCTCGATCATTAGTTTCGATGAAGATAATATAATGAATTGGCAATCTTAATCATTGCTAAAACAAAAAACAGCTCGGCACAGAGGTATATATTATTGTTTACTCGAATAGATTAATGGATTATGCCAAGATCTAAAGATTCCATGTAACAAATATGATTACGAGAGTTTGCGATTTATTCAAATTAGTGTTAGCTAGAGAGAAGATGTGAGATCAGCATATTAAAAGTAGATAATATTTGAGGTTTATTGCTCAAAGATTAAGTTAGATGGATTTCTGATGATTGCCAATCCTTTAATGTCCCTTTAATCAACAAGTCTCGAATGTTAATGGTCTTAAATGGATATTTAACTCGGTATTGCATTATCAGACCATCATATACTGTCAGATGTTCTGTTTGTGATCAGACAACAAAATACCCTCATTATCTATTCGACAGATCATTGAAAATATGTTAGAGATACTATATCGCCGTTACCATCTTCACAAAATCATTGTTTGTTATCGAGATAGCATCAACCTCATACACTGATTAATTAGGATTAACAATCCTTATTATAATAAATTTGCACTGTACAACATCAACTCTTATGTTCTTATCTGTTCATTTGTTCTCTGTTCAATTATTTCTGATTATACGAAAAATGTGTGGAAATTCTATGTGAACTTCTATGTGAGCTAGAATCAATTTAATGCTCGACTAATGTCAAATCATAGTATAGAAATAATTTATAATAGCTGAGGAAAATACTAATGAACCGAAGACGACTTCCTACGCCACGTTTTTCAGGAATGTATGGATCAAATTTTGACAAGTTAATGAACTGAATATTTGCATTTATTGAAAAGACTGAACCATTGTATGATTTTACATCTATTTTTAGATAAAACGTCAAATCTAATCTTCAACAATTGTTTCATCTAATATCAATTTATAGTTAATTGATGTATGAAAATAAAAATATCATAACGGGACGTTTAGATGGTGTTCACACTAGCCATTAGTGCATTTATATTAAAACTTTATATTCTTCATTTATATTACTAGATTTTTAAATTTAATGATGGTTCCTACTCGTATTCGTTATCTTGACTGGCTTGATCGTTGTCAATTACCATCATTACCACCTGAAATATGGTCACTTATATTTTCCTATTTGTCTATTAAAGATTTAAAAACGATTCGTCTCGTATCAAAATTATTTTATTCATGTTGTACATGTGATAATTTTTGGTTTAATATTATATTTAATGTTGATAAATGGGAACAATCTTCATTGTCATCGACTAATAAAAATTATAAATTATGGTTAAAACAATATACGTTAAAAGTAATTCGTACATCAAATATTAAATTGGTGACATCACATTCATTCATGAAAACATTAAAACATTACAATAAACAATTGAAATCAATTTATATTCTACCAGCAAATTCAACAATAACATTGGGTATCAATGAATATTTTTTATGTTCGTGGTATTTGAAAATATTTATATTTTTAATGTATTCTAGTGAAATCAACTAAAAAACGTCGTTTAACAATAATGATGAAGCCAGAATCACCACCAATTAATGCTCTTAAATTCAAAAATGTATCAATTGAAAATATTCATCATTATGAAAAAGAACAATTAGAATGGATGTTATCAAAAACTGTAAAACATTTAAAACTAACGTATACATTTTCGCCAAGTGAACCACCTATGACATTTTTATACAAATTAGAAAAACTGAAAAATTTAACGGTGATATTTGTGCATAATTTTTCAACATTAGTTATTGGACAACAACATCATCATAATTTTTACAATTTTCATCAATCTTTTGATGCCTATGCGTTAATGAATTTAAATACAATGTTTGATATTCTACAAATTATATTCAAAATAACCAGGTGTGACAATACTTTAGTATGATTTATTTTTAGTGTTTATATCAAGGGGGAAACAGCGTACTTTAAGGCGTAAAGTACGGCAAAGTACAAAACTAGTTTGAAGTATGAAGCAGCTCAAGGTATGTAGAAGTAGCACAAAGCACTTCAAAGTAGCTCGAAGTAGTACAAAGTAGCCTCAAGTAGTTAGTGTAGCTTGAAGTAGTTAAAGTAGATTGAAGTAGCGTAAAGTAGCCTAAGGTAGCTTAGAGTAGCTGAAAGTGACTAGAAGTAGTTGAAAGTAGCTCAGATTTACTTCAAGTAGCTCAAAGTAGCTAAATTAACTTCAAGTACAAAAGTACGCTGTTTCACCCTTGGTTTATATGCAGAAGAAGTCCTAATGAATGTACTTGGAATAAGTATTTCACATGCGTAATAATGCCAGTATTTACCTTTTTTTCAAAGTAGACTACATTGCAAGTACCTCCCTCCCTTGCAAGTACTTTTACCAAATACTTTGTATAATAAAACCCAGTATTGCAATCTTTAAGAAGTACTTGTAAAAACTGACAGTAAAGAATTAGTTTCAAAAATACTTGTCAATTTTTCCAATTACTTACTGAGTACTTACAAAGCAATGTATGTTTCTTAGGCAGAGATCGCTCAATGAGAAGAATCAGAAAAGAATGTGCGTTGTTACTTCAAAATGATCAGTATTATATATAATATAAAACTAGTATTTCAGTAAGTATATCTCTGTGTAATATAACTTATCTTTACTCAATTGAGTGACTGTATTTTTATTTGTGTTAACTATAAACACTAATCTGCCTACATCTGATATAAATGGACTTCCGCTTCGGTGTAGGTGGATTAGTTTCCCTTTCTTAGTTACAATAAAGCTTAAACTAAACTAACTAACTGTATCTGTTTTTTTTTTGTTCGAGCCAGTATTGAACAGAGTAACTCTCCTCTCTTTGAGCAGTATAACTAAATCTGTTGAACAACTCTGTTAATTGTTGCATAGGATATAAAATAATTAATACATAAAGACTTAAGGTGCACTATATGTGTCTTAATCGATAAAAGCACAGTTACTCACAAAAAAATTTTGTTACTCAGTAAAAACTTATTTAATTCCTCCTAAAATCTTTATCGAAAACGTTGACTAAAACTCGATTGTAGGATAAACTAAAGAGCGTTTAGCATGAACTATGTATTTTCAAAATCTACATGATTGTCTACTCTACTGTTGTTCTTTTATACATGCTTTTTAGAAATGACTATAGTGTTCCAAAAGGAAGCTTCTATGAGCCTATATAGCATCGATTCTTTTTGAAAACTCTACATTTGTAGAGTAAAGTCTTCTCGTGTCTAATCCAACGTAAACTCGATATTTGAAGCTAGCTTAAGAAAAATATATCGTGCAGAATGTTCTTCTAGCTTTTGAGCCGTACATAACTTCCCAATACTTCGCTATTTTGGGCTGAAATCTCTATCAGAGCCTATTCCAAGAATGGACATCAGTTTCTGAAAATTTCATCCAGATTGCATGCAGCGTGTAGAAATTAAAAGTTATTCAGAGCAAGAGATCCTTAATCTCAGCCCGTTTGACAGTGTGAGCATAATAAGTCGATTAAGGCCATACTCTTTTCATCTAAGAAGAACACTAGATAAAAAGGTCATCGAAATATCATTTCTTAATTATTTTCGTTGATTGCTCTATTGTATAATAATATGGTGTTCTGTTTAATTGCTTTTGCTCTAAATTTTCTCTATTCCAGATATGTTTCTTGAAATTTTATTTGATCTCATTCATTTGATTCTATTATCTGTTGTATGTGTTATTGGCGATTGTTTGTGTTTTGGCAAACCTTACAATGTATATGTCTTCGAAAATGCTTATCTTCGTGCATTTACCGATAGTTTAACACATGGTCTAATCAGCGTGTTGAGTTCACTGTTTATATTTGGATTTTATTCCTTTGGCGTTGAACATTATTTTCTTTCATATTTATTCGGTACTATTATTGATATTGACCATTTTATTCAAGTGAGAAGTTTTGTATTGCATCAAGCAATATCATTAACACATCGTCCATTTCTACACAATACTCTTTTGTTACTTGTGTTTTCGTTCGGAATGTTTTCGATTGAGATTTTTAGTTTTAAACATGGTTATTACTCATTGTTGATATTTTGTGGATGGTTTACACATCATTTAAGAGATAGTAATCGGCGAGGTTTAACATTCGAACCATTGATACAAACACAACCAATTAAAGATTATATACTAATTATGATTGTATCACTTGTTCTAATGAGACTGATTTATATCAAATACACCGTATTATTCAATATAAACGCTAAATCTCCATTGTCTAATTTAACTAATCTTGTTTGAGTTATTTTTAATGTATGTCTATTAGTAATGTTTTTAAGCGTGTTGTTAATAAATATTTTTGTTATTTTAAGGTTGAAAACAATTCAGATTCATGAAGCATACATCAAACACGAAATACCTAAAAATGGTAAGAGAAATAGAGTCCATATGTTACGACAATAATAATATCCGGTTTTGCAATCAACTTCACAGTGTATTTTATTTAATAACTTTTGACAGATAAGAGATAGATCTGCGATTGTCGCAGTTCTAATCAAAGAAACGATCGGAAAGTCAAGTCGGAAGCATCACTTTCAGTTGATGTATCTTGTTAGAATCAAATCTGAACTCTTTCGGATAACCTCGAAAATAAATAGAAACACATGTTAACAACAATTCTGAGACTCATAATAACATGTGTTCTCCAATAAACATGAAAGAAGCTGGTGAAAACTTATTTGGTGGAAGATGAGTAAAAGAAAACGTCTGCACTATAGTGCAGAGATATATCTAACAAGGAAAAAATGGAAGTTTTCATTTTTCTAACCATTTTATTACAGAAATCAGAGTAGTGTCTATGCTGTAAGACAAATTTCGACCGACTTTTGTAGATTATCTCTCTGCATAAAACGAAACTAGTCGAGGCTGGAGAAGTTAAATTTTAGGGCAAGCCTCCTTCGACCGATAGGAAACTTTGATCTCCCATACATTTTCTTCTTTTCATTTGATTTCATGTTGTACATGACGGAATCGGAGCTAGTTGAGAGAGTACTAAAGCAGTCTGTGTCAACCAGCGAGTTTTTTCCATGTTTAACAGTGACAGTGATATAAGATACTACTAGTATCTCATATCGCTAGCAGTATGTATATATATAGTAGATGTAGACGTAGGTGAAGAAGAAGACGCCACTTTGCTGTTTTATAAAACAGTCGTCTACATCTACACTAGTGTAGAGTACTGATAAGACAGACTTAGTCCGTTTCAGGTGGCCAAATATCTTCCGTACAATCTTTGAGGATCAACATATCCACCTCTTTACTAATCATCAATCACAGCTGTGGTAAGAAGGCTAATCTGATGGACAAATCTTTCGCCCAATTGATTGAGCATTCTATACACACCTACCAACCACCTTTCAGGAAGCTGGAGAAACTATTGTTGATCACAACATCGTAAGTAAAACTATATAACTTACTATGGTTATTACACAAGGGAGCTTTACAATAGCTTATTGAGGGATCTGTGAGAAGACGCACCATCTTGCTCAGTTTGGACAAGAATTGTGTTAGCAAACAGAGTTTACTGCATTTTATGACTGAAAAAGCAAAAGTCAAAGTAGAGTTTTTAATTCAAAATAGTTGATTGGATTTGGATCGATTTTGAGAGATGTATGCGCTTTTTATTTTCCCACGTAAATAACATGAATTCACTTACTTTCTACCAAACAGATTTTCATCAGATTCTTTCATGTTTATTGGAGAACATATATTGTCATGAGATTCACTATCGTTGTTAACGTACGTTCGCGATAGCGTTGAAAGGCGTTATATTTTGCACGAAAGTATCTTAGAAACGAAGCTTTTGCCAGTGTATATTGACAAGACAAAACGAGCCCCTAAATATCGCATTTGAAAATATCGGTTTAATTTTTCGACTGTCCACCTGCCAAGAACGAAACACATAAATATGATATCAAAATAGTTAATGTTTTGATTTAAACATTGTATGTAGGCTGCTATAATCAGTCTAATCGATCATCAGTGATACTGATTTTATCAATTCACAATATTATTCGTCCTTTTTAGTATATTTGATAGAAAATTTGTGTATTCTATGGCTAGAAAATTGTGTCGGATTGCATCATTTGCTACCAGTTATTAATAGTGAAAATCTTCAGGTAATTTATATCAGCCATCATCTAATTTTCTTCATATTAAGTATGTATTTTAGTGTGTTGTTTTACGTCATTGTTACGGAAAATTTGATGTATTTAAACAATTTGTTAAAAATTTAAAATCAATCACATATTTTGATTGTTCTACTCTTCAATGTAAGTGTATTGTTGTTGTATGTATGACAAAGCTCTTTTTCACTCTCTCTCTCTCTCTCTCTCTCATCTATTGCAGTAACTCATTTTGATCCAATTGACACTAATCCCGCATTATCCATTCCATCAACGATCGCCGTATGGGATATTTCATCAAGATTAATGGATCTGTTCAACAATTCTTCTTTGGAACAATCAAATGTATCATTAAAATCGTTAGCAATTACAAATTTTAATCTAAATGACATCGATATTTTGGAAACATTTTTGACAAAATTTTACTCATTAACAATAGTGTGTATCGCGTGAGTTAATATGATATAATCCGAGTTATACTTACATATTCAACTCGACTAATTCTCTGTTTTTAGTTTGTCTTCCATCGGTTGGTATGATCCAATATCTGATAATATATTTTATGATCGATTGGATAAATTAATCGAAGCAATCCTCAAATCCACTCAACAAAATAACCGATTGATTATTCATATTCATGTTGAAAATAATTCTATTTTAAATACAAGAAATATTATCGATGATTATTTGAGACAATTTGAATATGATCAACAATCAAAAATAAAATTATTTATTTTGGCTAATAACTATAAAAGTTGTTTTCGTTACGAAACTATTATTTAATGTAATTGTATTAAAGCAATGTCGGTGTATATTGAATATGTATATGATCATATTATATTTGTTTTCTTTGATTTGAAATAAAGGAAAATTTAAACTTGCAAATAATTCTAGATTGATATACGACGCTGTACAAAATTATAGAAAAAATTTGTTTTTCTGCTCGATCGTATTCATTAGACCAAGTCCACAGATATACGAAAATAGAGCTAATTTTAAAAATGAAAAGACACTTTTAAAATTAAAAAGCTGTTTTTAAAATTTTTCAATTAATCCTAGTACTACCAGCCTGGACTATTTATGACCCGTGCTCAAAAGTTTTGAAATATACTAGAAATATTTTGTTATTTCCCGGTTTTTCGAATGAAATAGCATCTTTTGCGAATGACTATATGCTGTTGAATCTAAACAATGATTCATATGTTTTTTTTTAATATCATTACAAGTCTTTGGTACAATACCATGTCTTTAGTATGCAACAAACATGTGACAAGAAAGGGAATAAGTTAAATTTTCAATCCATAATCTAATGACTCATTTACTATTCTAACTGGAGCCAGAGGGCTCCGAATTTTTTCCATGCGAAAGAAGAGACTTGTGGACATGTTTCCACAAGCATAATTATTTTCCGAAGAGTTTTCTGAAACAGGTTTTCTAGGAGATCTTTGAAAAACCAGGTCGTGTGTAAAAATTTTCGGATCGGATTGTGTTGATTTTTTTTGATGGGCTGATAGTTCGGGATCTCCTCTTGAAGACGAGAGTCAAACGGCACCTTGATTTTCCGCGGCTTGGGCGCTGTATCGGATTTCCTACCAATCCTAGGAGTGGCACCTGGCGACTATTGATAGCCTTGAAAACGTATAGACTATGGGTAATCAATCATGCTGAGTTTCGTGGCAATATCTGCTTTTAGAAAAAGTTCTTAGAAACTAGCGAAAAAGAAGTTTTACGAAAATTGGGTTTTCAGGCTGTTTTCACTTAATATTTAAAAATTCACTGTTCGCTCAAAATATATCAGAACTAGTTCAAAACTTCAGGATATGGTCAATTCTGTCATGAGATTCTGTCATAAGATCGAAAAAGCATATTTTTGTTAATGGGTTTTCTAGAAAACCTTTCGAGAAAACCTTACAGTTCTGTAAAATCTCTTTCTAGATATCCTGTGAATAGGATATAGAACAGCCTAAATACTTTACATTCTGAAGTTTTGAACCCGTTCTGATGTATTTTGAGCGAACAGTGAATTTTTAAATATTAAGTGAAAACAGCCTGAAAACCCAATTTTCGTAAAACTTCTTTTTCGCTAGTTTCTAAGAACTTTTTCTAAAAGCAGATATTGCCACGAGACTCAGCATGATTGATTACCCATAGTCTATACGTTTTCAAGGCTATCAATAGTCGCCAGGTGCCACTCCTAGGATTGATAGGAAATCCGATACAGCGCCCAAGCCGCGGAAAATCAAGGTGCCGTTTGACTCTGGGATCTCTTCAAGAGGAGATCCCGAGCTATCAGCCCATCAAAAAAAATCAACACAATCCGATCCGAAAATTTTTACACACGACCTGGTTTTTCAAAGATCTCCTAGAAAACCTGTTTCAGAAAACTCCTCTGAGGACTTTCTAACCTTGTTAACCCATGCATTGTACTCAGCATCATTAGGTATTCATTTTGTACAAAAATCACTTTCATAGCATCAGTGCGTCAGCTCGAAATAAAATAGTATGTTTTTGTACAGTGGGTCTCTAGAAAACCTCTGGAAACCCTCTCAAAAGCCATTAATATGGCATCCTATCATATGTCGGGGGGGGGGGG